CCAGGACACCAGCAGAGCCCTTAGGACTCTATCAGAGCCTCCAGGATTCCAGTGATGAGTCCAGGACATCAACAGAACCCCCAGGACACCAGCAGAGCCCCGAGGACACCACCGAAGACCCAAGGAACCAAACAGAGCCACCAGGACCCCAGCAAAGACCCGAGGACCCCAACAGAGCACCCTGGAACCCAACAGAGCCCACAGGACACCAGAGAATACCCCAACACCTGAACAGAGCCTTCAGGACCCCAACAGAGTCCAAAGGACCCCAGCAAAGACACCAGGACCCCAACATATCCCCCAGGACACCAACAGAGCCCCCAGGATTCCAGTGAACCCCCAGGACCCCAACAGAGCCCCCAGGACACCAGCGAAGATGCCAGGACCCCAACATAGCCCCCAGGACACCAACAGAGCCCCCAGGACACCAGCGAAGACCCGAGGAACATAACAGAGCCACCAGGACACCAACAGAGCCTCCAGGAACCCAGCGAAGACCCGAGGACCATAACAGAGCCCCCAGGACACCAACAGAGCCTACAGGACACCAACAGAGTCCACAGGACCCCAGCGAAGACCCCAGGACACCAGCAGAGCCCTTAGGACTCCAACAGACACTCCAGGACTCCAGCGACGAGTCCAGGACATCAACAGAGCCCCCAGGACCCCAGCAGAGCCCCCAGGACACCAGCAAAGACCCAAGGACCCAAACAGAGCCACCATGACCCCAGCGAAGACCCGAGGACAACAATAGAGACCCCAGGAACACAACACAGCCCACAGGACACCACCGAATACCCCAACACCTGAACAGAGCATTCAGGACCCCAACAGAGCCCCCAGGACCCCTGCAAAGACCCCAGGACACCAACAGAGCCCCAAGAACACAACAGAGCGCCCAGGACGCCAGCAAAGACCCCAGGACCTCAACAGAGCCTCCAGGACTCCAGAGAAGAGTCCAGGACATCAACAGAGACCCCAGGACCCCAACAGAGCCCCCAAGACACCAGCAAAGACCCAAGGACCCTAACAGAGCAACCAGGACCCCAGCGAAGACCTGAGGACCCCAACAGAGCCCCCAGGACCCCTGCGAAGACCCCAGGACACCAACAGAGTCCCCAGGACACCAACAGAGCTCCCAGAAAACCAGCGAAACCCCCAGGACCCCAACAGAGCCCCCAGGACACCAGCAAAGACCCAAGGACCCTAACAGAGCAACCAGGACACCAGCGAAGACCTGAGGTCCCCAACAGAGCCCCCAGGACCCCTGTGAAGACCCCAGGACACCAACAGAGTCCCCAGGACACCAACAGAGCTCCCAGAAAACCAGCGAAACCCCCAGGACCCCAACAGAGCCCCCAGGAACCCAGTGAAGACCCCAGGACACCAGCAGAGCCCTTAAAACTCCAACAGAGCCTCCAGGACTCCAGCGAAGAGTCCAGGACATCAACAGAGCCCCCAGGAACCCAACAGAG